GGGAGTCGGGCTGTTCAAAAAGGTTTACTGAATTTATGTGTTTGGATCCTTTCTTCTTTGTATTTTCAAACTTTCTCAATGCATTAAGATCCCTTTACAAACTAAAAAGGAACATACTCTTAAGTGCATTGATGATGATGCTTTGGAAGAAGTCCTACAACTCAAAGGGAACCGTCATATGCTAAAATCTTTTCTTAGCAATACCAGAGTTTTTCTAATGAGGTAGCACACTAAAGAACCTTGAAGGCTACCTATTCCTCAAGTGACTTAGGCACATGAGACCTTAAACATGTTTTAAATTTGGGAATTGCTTTGAAACTTTAAAATATTTTGAAGCACGTTCTGTTTTTTAAAGACCAGTATTTCATACCTCAGTGGTTATCAGCCACATTTCCTCCTGGGTGGAAGGTGCTGAGAGATAAGCTCCTTTAAATGCCCGCAACCTAAAATACTGCCAGTATTCTGAAATACGAGAGTGTGTGCCCCAGAAGAGAACACCACCTGCGCCTCTGTCACCCTGGCAGACGCTGTGGCATTTTAACATAAAATCCCTCTCCAAAGCAGCCAGGGTCTGTTGGGCAAGCCAGGCTGGTGGGAGAGAGCCATCCTGCTTGGCATTACTGTCATGGAACAGGAATCTTAGCTTAAAGGATTCAAAATAAAAAGCTATGGGTGTATTTTTCCTTGTTTTCTTTTTTTCAAACAACATGAGAGAAAAAATAGATTGGTTTTGAAGGTGCGCTGTGGGTCTGTCTTCTCGTTCTGAATCCACGCAGTGGCTCCGAGGGCTGAGTAGCTCCAAGAAACTTCTGTTCAAAGCTCAAATGCTTTGAGGCCTGGAAAGGCCTGTGGCATAACTTAAATATTCTGTACAAGATGCGATAATTTTAAAAAACAATAATAATTTTAAAAATTTATCAAAAGAGGACTTTGCTGACAATATCCCAATAGCATAAATATTGCGGTTTTGTCACTTTCATCCTCAGTTACCTACAAATGAGTAACTACTATGTTCCAACAATTTAGCAAGGCCTCTGCTGTCTCATTTTGTAAAATTTGTAATACTGAATTCAACTCAAGTCCTCCATTTACATATAATCAATGCTAAAATGTAAAAGGCAAAAAATCCTAGGCTGACATCAGACACAGTAAACATTCTACGTTTATGTTGAGTAAATCTTATCACTCCCTGTGGTTTGATTTTAATACAAATTAATCAAATTTATTTCAAACCCCTCCTTTCTACCGTCTGTTAAGCTTCCCTGCTCTGACCCCTCCACCCACACCTCATAGCTTTTCCTTCTGTACAGAACTTCCCATGGTCCCTGTATCCATAAATGCTTACATTATTTACTTTTGTCATTCAGCCAGGGGAACAAGCACAAGCATCCCCCTTAGCCATAACAACATTTGCAAACCGGCTGGACGTCCAAAAAACCCATTTCCACTTTGTTATGTTTCCAGAAATAAAAACATTATTTAGCCCAGCTGAAAACTTTTTCATTAAGGTAAGGCATAACTATTTTTCAAAGTTTCAGATGCACTGAAAGGTTATATGATACATTGATTCTTCATAAAAAGCCAGGCACCTTAATGTCTAACAGTATTGCTACATAGTAGGACAAAAAGGATAATAAATAACCTTAAAACAACTATTCAACTGGTCAATGTATAGGGAGCAAACATTTTATGGAAAATTTATTCTTTCATATAAGAATGCTTCTGGGTTGCTTATTAGAAAGTAGTAATGTGGTCTTATTGGAACTAATAGTGACTAAAAAAAAAGATACTGGTCTACTTTCAAAGGGGGAAAAAAGTGACATAAAGAGACAATTTCCATGCAAAAGACGAAAAATATCGTACAGGATCTTATACTCAGAAGTTTATTCCTGACTGATCTAACAGACTAACAATGTGTGTTCTCTGCATTTCACAGCTGGGCATCATCCCATAAGCCCCATACAGCTTCCTTTTTAATAGTTCCAGGGGTAAAAATAAATAGGCACTTTAAAAAGGTTACGTGATCCTGCAAACATGATGCAAGCTGGATATTTGTTAAGATTACTCAACTCTCTAAGTTATAATTTTAGATTTTTTTATTTCTATAAATCTGAGAGGCATTATTACAGAAATGCACAAGCAATCCGATTGCTCAGTCATAAATTACTTGAAGTTTTTAGAAAGGAAAATGAAAATTTTAGCATGAACAAGTCAGATTGTCACGGCTCACTGAGAAGAAAAAATAAAGGATTATTTCAAGAAGCTGTTATAGTTGCTGTTTTCGAAGTACTGAAGATGAAATATCTAAACAAAGGATTTGAGTGAGAGAGGAAAATAAATAAATAAATAAACAAACAAACAAAAGCAGCTTCACCAGCTTGTGCTCCTTATCCCCAAAAGAAGACTCAAACCTATCTGCCAAGCCACCACTGCTTTATACACATTCTCCCTCTGCAGCCTCTCTTTGTACCAGTGTTTTCAGCCAGCATGGTCAACAAGTGTTATACATCACTGGTTACTCAAATAACCAAGTGAGCCGTAAAAAAGAACTTCAAATTCGGCAGTAAAAGCAGAAGTGAAAAAACAGATGCTGAAGATGAACTGAAGATGCAGAGCGATATCAAGAACATCAGAACATGGAAATACAACTGAAACATTTTGAACGAAAGAAAAGGAAATCTCAGTCAAACTACCAATCTAATTACTTAAAACATACTTCAGACACAACAGGAAATTTTACAAACACACTCAAGAATTGCCTAATAATTTTAGCTGAAGAATAGTACGGTGAACTTTTTAATACATTTTATAATTAGGGTTCCACAAATAGACAGTAAGTGTCCCATGGTCCTTAAGTCACGAGGAAAGAAGCAGAATGAAGAAAACCAATGGAGAAGAGAAAGAGTACAAGACTTCAGGTGGATGCCTTTGGTATTTAAGGACACACTCAGACAAAAACACATGTATGTTTACACACAGAGGCACCCAAGAAGAGAACAAGTCTGGCTATGATACAAAACGAGCAGAGAAAACAATTTTTTTTTTTTTTTGTGAAAAACATTTGCATAGTGAAACAAATATCCAGCTCATCTGTTAATCCAAAAATAGCCATTTAAAAATAACCAGACACCCACAATCTATTGTGAGTCTTCTCCAATTTGAAGCATAAATCAAAATAAAATCAAATAAAATACTAATCAGAAATGAAGCGTATTAGATCTGTAATATATGCTGGCTTCAGTGGCTTAGCATTTCCTAAGCTTGGATGACAGCGTATTTGTTTACACACAGTATTATGGAAGAGTCATCTGTTGAAGGTCAAATCTAGACAGATGCGCGAGGATTCAGAACAAATAACCAAGAACCCAGCATTTAACATAACTCTTCTTGCCATAGCAAAGGAAGTTATCTCAGCAGAGATCCTCTTCCACTTTGGTGCAAGGTAAGAAATGAATCCGTTTTGTATCACTGCCTTGCAGTGTTTGTGGCTGACATCTGCAGCACACCACGGCAGCTGTTGTGAGGAGCTGGGAATAAGATTATAAAGACTCCTCATATTTTTTTTTGGGGGGGGGGAGAATTGATATATTTAGTAGATAAGCAAGGATTTAAATAAGGGCTACATATAAGACAAATGTTTAGCCTAAATACCTTGAATATGTTTATACATACTAAGTAGAATAAGGCACTGTTGTGTTGCAATTACAAACATATGCTAGGGTTTCCTACTCAGAAGTTTTTGTAACAGCTTAAAAACAACCAACCAACAGACTTTTGAACTTGTGCAGAAGTCATTAAAGTCTGTTCAGAAGAGTCATTAGCACGCATGTAAGTAACCAGTAAAAGTCCAAGGGTCATCACTGGGCAGCAGTTAATCAGCCCCTTCAACGAGGAGAAAGTTCAGGGGGCTCTAACTCCCTCCTGCTCCTGCACACAGACAGGAGTCTCCCACCTCACTGCTGTTTGAAAGGAAGGCAGAAGATCAGCCTGTCTGAACTGACGCGCCAGGGGTTTCTGTAGCACTGGCTCTGAGCAGTTCACTGGGAAGCCTGAAGCAAACACAGCCAACCCAGCAAGCGTGCCAACGTACGTCCCATCTGGGAAAAAGGGGTACCCATAAATACAGATCAAGCAGAGAACAGAGGAGGATGCTGACTGTCAAGGAGGGAATCACATAAAAAACTACAACACCATGCCAACACACACACGTGTGCAATTCTCCTTGACTCACTTTCTTGTGGCAGGTGGTGCTGGGGTTTATCCACAGCATGAAGAAAGATGATGTGTCCTTACGAATACACAAATATACCCCAGAGGTGTAACTGTCCATATTCTTCCCCAGGCAGTGCAAAGAAAACATTTTCTTGACAGCACGGTATCACTGCTAGCAGGCCTGAGGCAGACCAAGGAACTGCTGACATCTGTCTGGAGTCAGATACTGGAGGCCAGACTGACGTCAGGAGAGCCTGCATCTCCTACAGCAAACACACGGCTGTCTTCAAAGCACAACTGGCCAAAGAAAAACCACTCCTTGGGAGAGGATGCAAAACAGCAAGTCACTTAAGGCAGATACTAGTTTTCTTCCTTAATATGCTACTGAATGACACGCTGATACTACGTTTGAGAACGGGTAAAAACGTGAGTACAAAGTGGCTGGAAACTTCACCCTTTCAGAGTAACACACATCCTTTGGCCCATACCCGACATAAAACAACACTAAAAGCAATGGAGGACTTCAGGAAAAGTGATGAGCAACATACTGACAAAAGAGCTGCCAGTTCTGAGGTGCATAAATATATTTCTAATGTATGTATTTATTGTGCATACAATGTACATCTACTTAAATTTCCTAATTTAAACTGTAGAACCAAGGTTCTTATGTCAACTTTCACCTAGCTAGACAGACAAATACTGTACAGCAGTTGTACTAGTTCTGTGATGAAGACGGTTTCAACATTAGTTTTTTATATGTTCTAGTCACCAAAAAGCAGCTGTTTTACCTCTTAATATTAAGCAATGCCCAAGGTATCCCAGTGGGAGTGTTGAAAGCAGGTAGCAATTTCTCTCCAAGCTCCACTGCCTTTTTTCGGAAAATCTGGAAGTTAAGAAGAAACAAAGTGTTGGAAAACGCATTGTTGCTCCCACTAAATTAATTTAGATAATACTGTCACTGAGCATAAGTTATCTCAGCGCAACGAAGTGTTCCTGCTTTTTTAGGGCAACGTCAAAGGAACGAAGGAGCACAGCTCATTTTCCATTACACGCCGTAGCGGGAGAACTCACACAGCAGGATCTCACAGTGATGATGCCCAGATGACCTGCGTCTGGCATGACCGGCATCAAGCCAGAAACATCAGCATGATCAGACCCGCTCCGGATTGCGCAGAGCTCCCCGCTGTGCCTGCCAGGCGCTCTGGGGTCGGGGAGGGGGGCCATTAGCCGGGCACGCTGCTGGATCCAGGCTGGCTCACAGGCAGGTCCCTGCCCCCAGCGACACGTCCTCCCAGAGCGGTGGGGATGCTGCCGCAGAAATGCCGCCTTTGCTCTGTGTGAGGTTTATTAATGGTGGCTCAGCGTGCCGTGGGAACCCGGGCTGGATCGCCGTGTACCCGTCGTACTGCAAATGTGCTGCACGGGGAACCTGCGGCAAAAACAACCTCCTCCCCACCCCCTCTCCAAGTAAAAAAAATAAATAAATAATTTTTGCAGCACCACAGTCTTACAGACTCAGCTGACTTATACCCAGATGGGTATCAATGCCATGATTAATCAAAAAATTGGAATATACTCCTACAGATAACTGAGACGTAACTGTTCTTTAGCACGTAAAGAGTTTCAGATTTCACCTTAAAAACAAGAAGCGGAAAGACCCCAATTGGTTAGCATGTTCCCACAAGAATTACAAACAATTTAACATCAGGAAATCTTATATTCAGAGTAATAGTTACAAAGCTAGAATAAAGAGAATTTTACTCTCCTTCAACTGCCAGCTCAACTCAGGTTACATTAACCTGACTTTTCAAGCACTGAGTACTCTAGTAAGAGATTTTTTAATTAGAAGCAATATTGTTCCAACTTAAATATAGAAACCTATTTAGTGATTTCAATATGTGGATGTTCAAGGCCTATTTGCTTGGAATTACACTGGGATCCTGCGCAACACTGAAAGGGATTATCCCAGGTGTAGTAGCCAAAATAGCAAAGTCACCTTCATCGTTCTCTCTTTCTATTACTGACTCTCTTCAAGTCATTTTTTTCCCCTCAGACATATTTATGATGGATTTTTATTTATTTATGTATTAGAAATCAACCTGTACACCTGATGCATCTCACAGTGTAGCCAAGTAGGCACAGCAAATTTCTGGAGAAGGAAAAAAATGCATATATGTTTATGTGAATACATAAAGACATTTCCTGGTCAAAACAAGGTCATGAAGAAATTTCTTTCCACACAAATAAAGTACAATATATAAAATCCCACTTTCTAACAGTCACTTTGAGTAAAGGTTTTTATTATTGAAAAATACATGATCAGGAGAGAATATAAAACTCTGGGATGATCATGTTACCATAAAGAAGCTCCAGTCTACCCCACAGTCTCTGTATACGACACAGATATCAAGATTTCTGTGACAACAGTCCAAGATTTAGAATTACAGTATAAGATATTTTGAGGGAGGCTGAGTAATTTGAAGCCAAATTATGGCTGGAGTCAGAAAACTTTTCTGAGTGGATAACATGTGAGTTCTGGGAGAAACTTTGTGTTGGGTTTGCGTGGCAAGGTTTTGGTAGCTGGGGGGGGCTACAGGGGTGGCTTCTGTGAGAAGCTGCTAGAAGCTTCCCCT